GGCTGCGCCACCAGGGAGGGCCAGCAGCTTTACTTTTAACCCCGTTGAGTATAGGTTTTCCCAATCACAGTCCCAAAGCTGCAGAACCTTTTCTTTCTAAACAGTGAATAACACAAACAATGTTGGGACTGGTTGATCAGGAACATGTTTGTGGCAGAAAGACCAGTTTCCAAATTGTTCAGGAGCCAGAAGAGCTGGGTTGTGCCTGACTGCGTGCGCACCAGACAGCAGCAAGAGGGGTGCTCATTCTTCCCTTGGGAGTCGGCGGGTCGTCTGCGAGGCATGTGATAGTGCCACAAGAGTCTGCACCAAGGTTTACTCCCATCAGCCAGGAGCAGCTTCGGGCTTTCAGAGGCCCAGACAACGGTGCTTCTGCTGAGAGTGAGCGACACCCTTTAGCAGGGTTAAGAGTGATGAGGGTGGACTCCTATAACGGACACAATTCTCTTCGGGCCCCTGTGCTGAGACTGCCCACCAGTGGCTTAGGATCTGCTTAAGTGTGAGATGCTGGCATACTTGAGTACAAGCAAGCACCATCCTTTGAACGGGAACACAGAAGAAAGGAGGGGCCACAGAAGATGGTTTCAAATCTGAGTTTGCCCCCATAAAATTTTAAGCCATGTTTGGAAAGAAAGGGAGAATCTGAATCGACAAGAAGACAAAACACACCAACATCCAGGAAGGAAGGAGATGGGAAATGTAAGGATAATTGGCTTTGAATTAAAGTGGTGAATTATCTAGAGGAAAACCTAATTAGCAAATCAAATCTGCTTCCATCTTTAATCAGAATATGTATCTCTCTTAAATGTCTTGTAGAAACCAAGGCTGGAGATGAGCTAACTTACCTCAGGGGCCTTTCATCAGTCTCCTACGCCTGACAAAGGTTGACTTAACCTGCAGTGACTTCTAGGCCAGTTACGCTGTGCCCTCTGAAGGGGAGAGACAGGAAGGGCCTCAGAAGCCAGGTTTGTGAAATCCTGATCTTGAAAGAAAGGGTGATGCCAACTTGCCTCCATTTTTCTAGGTCTTAATTATGTAGTAATCCAAGGTCAATGCCTGGTGCAAAAAAAAAAAAAAGGTTACTCTTACCCATAGCATGCCTCAAGGTGGACTGATTATGTTAAACTTTCTTGGGTAGCAGACCTGGTCAAAACCACTAAATTAAAAAATAATTGTGCCTGGGTGCTTTAAACTC